TATATGGTTGCCAGAAGTTTTCGACGCACCAGGCGTTAGGGTATAAAACAAAGTAATATGCATCAACTCCTCAGTTTTATTCACAATGCAGAGCGAGTACTGCAATAAAGCTTTTTCAAATAAATACAGTTTAACTCGACATGTTCGCGAGTATTGTCCGGTTTTACAACATAGACTGTGTAGTGAAGGTCCATCAAATAAAAAAACAAAGTTAGACAATATTATTTGTGAATATTGTGGAAAAAAATGTTCAACTATGTTTAACTTAAACAGACATATTCAGAATAACTGTTTCGTTTTTAAAAAATCACAACCTTCTACAAGTGGTGCTGGTTATTCGTCAAGTCTCAATAGAAAGAGGATTAATCAAGTCGTAATTGAGAGCTTGGAAGATGGAGTTACAAAACTACAACATGCATTCAAGAACAGAATAGCTACTTACCGATTCAACAGTCCCAAAACTCACATCGATTATAAAATATTTATGGATGAAGCGAGGCCAAAAATAGAAAACATAATTATAAAATACTTACAGGAGCATACAACGTTCAAGATTAATTTTGAGGTATTTGGACTTTATGTAATACCTGAGAAAGAAATAAGTGATATCAAGTCCTTCAATACGAAGAATAAAGTAGTGACTCAATCAACTGATCTACAAAAAATGTTTGAGGAATTTATAGAAGAAATGACTTCTCAAGCATCTGAATTCCAGACGAAAGACTCAGGATTCAGTTTACCCCAATGTCAGCGGCAACCTATATTAAATTACCGAGATATGTTGAAAATAAAAAAGCAGTTTTAAATATACAAAATAAGGACAATGCGTGTTTCGCCTGGGCAATTAATGCGGCCATTTTCTCCTCACGTAGTAATCCTACACAAACAAGTTCATATCCGCATTACAATACTTTGCTTAATTTCACCGGTATAGACTTCCCTGTAAAATTAAAAGACATCACCAAATTCGAAGAAATGAGCAATATATCTGTGAATGTGTTTGGATTGGAATCGGAATTTAAAGATGGAAAAACTGTTACGGAAGTAGTTGGACCTCTACATTTTACCAAATGCCGCAAGCCTACACATGTTAATTTATTGCTTGTTTCTGATGATTCAGGCAATAATCATTACTGCCTAATTAAAAATCTCTCAAGATTAGTTTCAAAACAGAAATCTCTGCATATTGGAGTGTTACACATTTATGACGGATGTCTGCAATCGTTCAGAAAAATTGAAAATTTAAAANCAGGAAGAAGAGTTATTACTGTCTCAGCTCATAAAACCGAAGCCTGATAATCCATTGTACCTTGCAAGATGCGAAGAGGGGTTTCAGAATATTCTAATTGAAAGACATCTACTAAAAGATGAATCAATGTTTAGAAAGTTTTTCCGTTTGAGCAGAAGCCAGTTTAATTACATTTTATCATGTATTGAAAGTGATATGAAAGGACAGTCATGTAATAAAGTAAAACAGCCTATAGGCCCTGCAGAAAAACGGATTGACGCTCAGGGGGGCAATTCTTGGCCATTCGTTTCCTTGCGAATCGTTCGCAACTTCTCGATGAACACTGAAATCCAATTCTTGAGCATTCGCATTATTGCGTATTCGCAAATTTCTGTGCGTTTTCTTGCGAGCGGATCGAAAGCATTCGCAACGATGAAGTGAGGTTACGTTTTTATGCATTTTTATGTTCTCATGCTGTTCTGTTCATTTGATTTGTCAGTTGTGCTACATTTATTTATTAGGTTTTATAGTAAACCTTGTAGTTAGGTTTAGGTATAACAATAATAATTTATGGGCAGAATACCGTGTAATACTGCAACGTTATCGGTTTTCATTAACCATTTGTCGACACTGTGACGTCATCGTTAAATTTTATTAAATATTATTTTTTTACTAAAGCGGCTTCAAAAGAAATTGAGACAAAATCGTGAGTTAATCTCACCAAAGACTATTCGCTAGGTAATTAAAAAGAGTAGTGCATTAGCCCATTATTCTTATATATTATGTCGAGTTTGAAGGCCGAATTTAAGCCAGAAATTATTTAAAACAGATAGTACTTACTTTTCGCCAACTTTTCCAATCTTTCTCGGCCCCCGGCATACTATTTAAAATGGCTGAAATATTCTGCCAGTCCTTTGCTGCATCTTTTACAGTGTAATTGCTAGTTTGTTTTCCACTGATTAAAAGCGGCCTCTTCTTTACAAACTCTTTCAGAGCTGCTTTTTGATTTTCAGTAACATTAATCCCACGTTTTCTGTCCATTATTAACAAGGCACAAGAACAGGAAAAAGAAAACAACAAAGATCGGCGATCACCGTGCAAACTGCAAACACGAAACAATAAAAAATAAACAGTAAAAAGTAGGGTTAAACTGGTAACAGCTGATTTCATATTTAGGGACTGTGATTTGTCGACGTTGCCAGAGCTCCCTGAACGTAAACTTGCGAGCGCTCGCGATGATCGCAATTTAAGTTGCTTTTAAGCGATGAATCCCAAGAATTAGACCCCAGGTAAGAACAAATATACATTTTTTAAGCTCAATATATTTATTTGAGAAATATAACAAAACGTACGTAATCGTTAAAAAAAAACGTAAAAATAGTTGCCCAGTAGTAATATCTAATGAAAATTTAAACCAGACATGTTTGTCATATACTGCACGTCGTTATCTTGCAAAGAAGGCGGTGACTGGTAAGAAACAGAAGATCCATGGGGAGCAGGACCAGGCGATAATATTCCATACTCCACTGAAGATGATGGCGGTGATTGATGAGAAACAGAAGTGTATGAAGGAGTAGGAGTAGGCGGTAGTATGTCATACTGAGCTGAACATGAAGAGTTTGAGGTTTTACGGATTTCTTCCAACTCTATTTGTCCAACAATCTGACATACAGTAGGCGCTTGGTAATCCGGCACCCATATTTTTTCGCCGATGCCGGATTATCAGAACTGCCGGATTATCGGATTTCTATGGGAAGTAAAAGCTTTATACATAAAATGTAAAATAAATTCTACATATCATAGATCCACAGTAAAATACTATTTTAATATGGTTAGGTGAATTTATTATAAAAATAAAATTATGTATGTATGTACATACATACATACGTACTTAACATAAATACAAATACATATGTACATAATTACATATGTTCATCAATTGTGACGTTTTCAATTGCGGAAGAGGAACATGACGCTTTGACCAAATATTTGTCAATTTTCGTTTGCTTCTTGCCATAGTAAATTTTTTTAATTATCATTTCTCTTAACTTTCTCAAATTCAGTAAAATGTCGTTAATAGCGTTATTTTCCTCTGCCCAGCGGATACTGACATCTATTGATTTCAGGGCATCTTCAGCCTTCACTGAGGTGTTCGTGGGACTAAGCAAGGTCATTTCCAAATCATCTTGTTCAGAGCTAGAAACAGCATCATTTATTATTTCTTCATCGGTCATTACAGGGTGAGAATCCGAGTTTTCCGCAAACCATTCCTCAATATCTTGTTCAGTCAACTCTGTCTGATTATTTTGGAACAACATCTGCTTTAGTTCTGCAAGAGGTAATTCATCTTCTGAATCCCACTCTTCTTCAGGTTTTTTGTTTAGTGAAGGCCATCATTTTTTCCACGACGATTGAATCGCTTTTTGAGGCACCATGTTCCACGCTTCAGTTACGTTAAAGACCGCATCTTTAAGGTTCATGTCCTTCAGTGTTTTAGTGACATCATCATCCCGGATAATAGCATTCAACAAGAGTCTCTTCTTGTAGTTACATTTTATCATCTGAATTACATTCTGGTCCATAGGTTAAAGTAACGGTGTGCAATTAGGTGACATAAAATGTGTTTGAATCTTACCATCCCTAGATGATTGTAACTCATCATTTGGTTCATGGGCAGGTGCATTATTCAACAACAGAACAGCTTTAGGTGGAAGATTCTTGCTTTTCAAAAATTTACGTACCGCAGGCACAAAATCATTGTGAAACCAGTCAATGAATAATTCTTTAGTTACCCATGCCTTGTTTTGATTTTTATACACAAGTGGAAGATTAACATTTTTGAACGCTTTAGGATTCTTCGCTTTTCCAATAAACAGCAACTTAAGCTTATGAGTGCCACTAGCATTTGCACAGGGCATAATAGTGACCCTGTCTTTTGACACTTTCCTGCCTGGAGCTTCTGACTCCTTTCTGTAAACATAAGTTTTGTTAGGTAAAACTCTCCAAAACAGGCCGCTTTCGTCAGCGTTATAAGCTTGATCCGGAGTTAAACTAAGGTCGTCAACTTTTTTCTTAAAATTCTCGACAAATGGAGCGACGGCTGATGTGTCACTGGATAATATTTCGCCGGTTACAGTCAACAAACGTATTCCATATCTTGATTTGAAATTCTGGAACCATCCATCACTAGCTTTAAAGTTGGCATTCTTATATATTTTTTCATAAAAAGTTAAGGCTTTTTGACGAATAATATCTCCAGTAAGAGGCGTATTACGGGCTCGTTCTTGAAGAAACCACGTATACAACGCGTCCTCCATAAGAGGATACTCTCCAACCTTAATAGTCTGTCGTGAACTCGTCCCGGCGTCAGCAGTGTTGCCGAAGTTTTCTATCTTCTCACGATTCTTTTTTATATCGTAAATTGTTGCACGGCCTACACCATATTTACCAGCCAACTTCATCTGATTTTCACCACTATCCAACTTTCGCAAAATTTCCATCTTTTTAATTAAACTTAATGTTTCGTGTTTACGTTTTTTGTCCGCCATTTTGTCAAAGCGACGCTGCGAAACAAGAAAAAGTAAAACAAACGCGTGGCTTCACTATTATGGTTAGGCCGAGACTGTTTGTCGCGAGCGAGACAAACACTACTCGAACAATTCAACCGCTCAGTAGTCCGGCGTTCATGCCGGATTATAGAGCGGGCTACCCGAGTCCCAAAGTGCCGGACTACTGAGCGTGCCGGATTGGCGAGCGCCGGATTACCAAGCGCCTACTGTATTTCCATTCTGGCACGAATTTGACTTTCAAGGAACATTTTATTAACCGACATCGCCATATTTTGGAAGAACACATCTATTGGATGTTGTTCTGCTGGCTTTGCCAGAATTGTTGATAATAATTTTGCCCTATCATCAGAATTATTTTTAAACATTTTTGCAATAATTTCTGACGATATTTTGCTGTCATGTTTTCGCTTATTGAACGGCTTGTTCAATGCACCTGCTTCAGATTGTTGTTCAGGGATAGTGGGGATATTGTCAATGTTACTATTGTCAGGGGTCTTTTCAGGATCATCCGGTTCCTCTTCCATTTCTTTATTTTGTGTTTCATATTCTGTACCATCATCTTGTGTTTCTGTTGTCTCGCCTTGTGTGGCAGTATTTGTCAAAGTCCTGAAAAAAAAATCGAATAAAATGCTAATGTAGTAAAGGTTATTTGTCTCAAAACAACCGTTCAAGTTAAATGCCGTCTTTCAGGCACTATCCTTAATTATCGTAATTTACTTACGCCCTTTCGCATTCAACCAAGTTGAGGAATACAAGGTGTTCTTCGAGATGCCATTTCCGTAATACCTTTGATCTGGCGGGGCCTGTAGGCAGTTTTTTGCTCCTTTTGCGCCTCATATAAGTATCTCGAATATATTTCCAACGGCTTTTACATTCTTCAACTAAAAGAGAAATATGCCTTTAAAGCTGTATTTTTATTTTTTAGGTTTTTAGTTACTGGAGAAAGTTATGCATCTTTAGCTTTTGCATTTCGAATATCACCAAGTTACATAAGCCGCATTGTAAAGAAGGTGCTAAAACTATGCAGTGAAAGACTTCCACCTATTTTCGTGCCAACTCCTACCCCACAAGACCTATCACTAGCCAAAGACTTTGAAGGAAAATGGAATTTTCCAAATTGTATTTCAGCTGTGGATGGCAAACATGTTAAAAATTTTTGTTCTGGAAAAAGTGGTTCTCAATTTTTTAATTATAAAGACTTTTTTCCCGTTGTTTTGCTTGGTTTTTGTCGATGCTAACTACAAATTTGTAATGGTTGGTATCGGTTCATACGGTAGAGAAGGTGACAGTGGTATCCTAGAAAAATCTAATTTAGGGAAACTGAAAAAAATGAAGAACTTTATCTTCCACCAAGACAAATAGGAGAAAAACTGCTACCTTACGTAGTAGTAGGAGACGAAGCTTTCAAATTATCAACACATTTTATGAAACCTTTCTCAAGGAACGACTCTCGTGCTGATACAAAAAAAGCTGTTTTCAACTACAGGCTCTCACGTGTAAGAAGAGTATCAGAAAATTCATTCGCTCTACTGAGTCAAACTTTTCGAATTTTTTATATCCCAATAGCTGTTAATCCAGAAGTTACAGACTGCTTAATAATGACTGCCTGTTGTCTTTATCATATGTTAACCTTCCGGGACTGGCGTAAAATTTTTGCGATCCGATACTAGATTTGAGGCAATTATAAAAAAGTTTGCAATTATTTTTGTTTATTTATATAAAAGCATGAAAAATAATTAAACAACATTAATTTTGTAACGCAAAAACGTATAGGAACATATATTTTTGCAATTATTACAAATGCAGCAGAAAAGTTAACATTCTTAAAACTAGTTACTAAAAAACATAAAATTAACGTAGGTATTTACTTAAATATGAACAGAAAATAAACTTATCATAAAACTAAATAAAACTATTCACTGTGACATTCCAAACATATAGGTGTCAAGTATATAACACGTTTTAACCTTGTTTTCGTTATTAGACTTCTTATTTGTATTTGTATCATCCGTAATCTTCAATCAAAATGTGTATCGAAACCGTTTTCATATATATTCTTTCTGATACATGGTTTTTCCTTTTCTTATTACTTTTATTATCTAGCTGTCATATTTTAATGTTTATTATTCTCTCTTTTTTTTTTCTCGTAACCCAACACTTTCTTCTTAGTAACGCACTTCTGTTTTCACATTTTAAATTTTTATAGCTCATTATTTTCTTTACTTAATACTATTTTACAATACTTTCCCATTTAAAAAAATCAATTCAATTTTGTCAGTACATTTTAATTTTATGACGAGCGACTTCTGTCAGATATTTTCTTTCAATTTTACCCCTTTTTGATATGCAATTTTGAATACATTACATTTCCATACATCTCAATATATATATATATGTTGTCAAGATGTTTCCGGGTTCCTCTCCGCGTATGGTTTTCTTGATTCTGGATAGAATCGTGTTCTGGACGACGTTTCGGCAAGATCACACTTGCCATTTTCAAGTCTTCTTTGTTCTACTTCGTGTAATACGTTGTGAACTGNATTTCTGTTAAATAGGCAAGTCTAAACAACCAGTATTTATTAGTTAAATTGCTTTGTAAATCAAATGTTCCAAAAGAAAAGCATGAACTCGTAACTCAAACAACCGAAGTAATATTTTACCACGGGACAACCATCGAAGATCAACACAAGATCTTAAATAGTCGCATATTTAACGGTCGAGACTTGATGAAATTTATTATTTTTACAGACTCATCGAGGGTAGTTTTGAAGGGAAGTGACATATTTTTCATAGCAAGTGCGTGACGGTGAATTATACAGTCACTGCTACTGCAATTCTTTGCTACAGTTTTGATCTTCGAAACAGCATCTGAAGTTTTTCCAACCATAGCTCTTGCCCCATCGGTACAAACATCAATACAATTGTCCCAAGAAATACCATTTTCAATAAAATAATTGTTCATCATGTTAAAGATGTCAGCTCCAGTAGTAGTACTTTCTAACACCTTACACATTAATAAATTGAATAGAATGCTCGAATTGATACCGTACAAACACAAGCAGCACTGCTAGCCCCGCTACATCAGTAGATTCATCTATTTGTAGAGCAAAATCACAACTTTTAAGGCGCGAACATAACTGCCTTTTTATAGATTCTGACAAGTCTTTTATACGACGAGATACTGTATCATTGGACAATGGTATCTTTGACAATTCTTTTGCAGCTTTTTCATCTAGCATACATTTTACCATTTCGACTGCACATGGTTTTATAAGATTCTCTCCTATAGTATGGGCTTCACCGGCCATTGCAATTTTGTAAGAAACAATATAAGATGCCTCAGTTGCATTTTCATTAACCGTCTTTGATGCATGTTTTCGATTTCAACTGTTCCCGCTTTCGCTCAAAAAAAGTTATATTCTTATTCTTATATTCTGGATGCACAGATTGGAAATGGCGAAGCAATTTAGCAGGAAACATTGAGCTATTCGGTAAAACTTTGTTACATAAAACACACTGAGGACAATTATTCTCGGCTTCCATAAATCCAAGGGCCAAGTCTTCGCTATATACTGTTTATCATATCTCCTTGTTTTTTTTTGTTGCATGTAATTCATTTAAGTAAGAATGGTGGTCTTTCATAATATTACTTTTTGACTTTGGTTCTTCTAATTAAAATTGTTTTTGAAAAAAAAAAACAACCACTGTAGGTAGGTAATCAAATAAGCATATAGGTATACTTACCTGTACTGGTGCTTCGGTACGTTGTTTTTTACACGCTGTTTTTAACCAACGACCCATTGCGTACGGCGGTCTAGTTAAAACTATCACAAAACAAGAACTGACTTGCTAGTTAAAACTTTGACGTTACTGACGTGCTAACGGATGGAGAACGGAGAACTATGCGTGCGCACATCACATCCAGCGCGGCTGTGACATATTCCGTAAGCACGTGCGTTGCAGTGACGGAGAACAGAGGCGTCGCTAACCGCTGCCAGTTGGCACTGGCGAAGCCCCTCCATTCCACAAAGCACACTTTGAGAAACGCTGCGTCTACTAAATGTTTCCTGACTAACATAAGCAATATCTCTTATTAAACTTTGGAATTTTCATGATGCCAAGAACTTTAGTACTTACAGCAGGACAGAGGAATGAATTACTTCTTGTGGATGTTCCAATGCTGGTGTTAGTAAGTCACTTAGCTGCAAAACTACATTTCTTTGCAAGCGATAGTATCTGCAATAAAAAGTATTTCATAAAATATGTCTAAGTTTCAAATTTCATTGAACACCTATATGTTCATCTGGTATTTCCAAAGGATCTAGTCCATCTGGAAATAATCTCTCTCTACGTATATTTACGTGATGTTGATTTTGTTGTTATTTTCCTCGTATAGCATAAGAATTATTGTTGCACCAGGAAACATACTGTATGAGTAAAAGAGAATTTTATTAAATAGTTTGATGTACAATATGTCAAAACAAAATCAATGTATAAAGTAGTGTAATACTACTTACATATAAATACATTTTATGCGTCTGTTGTCATGTGATTAAACCATTATGAAGCACTGGAATTACTTATAAAAAAAATAAAATGCAATAAACTTAATAAACTACAAATTAAGTACGATTTTTATGTATGTTATGTAGAATGTATAAATAATATATAACCATGTCTCAACGTATTGAGTTATACAGTATGATTTCCTTTCTTGGGACATTACATATACATCCTCGCCAATATCAATTATTATCCTTAAACTTTCTGATAAAAAGTACATATCCTATTAATTATAAATTTTATTTAATAAATTTACTGACAAGCATATATTTTTTTAGAAGAACGTTCCTGACCATACTGTAGTAATTTTTCGATCCAACAAATTTTGCAAATTTTACAACGCAGTTGGTCTCTGTTCCAAAATTATGCACTTTATTAACACAAGTTGTTGGTTGAAAATAATAGGTGAAGAATTAGGAGGTACATACTTCTTGATGTCATAGTCTGGTAATTGGTTTCATACTCAATTTCATATTGGCTTTTAATTTTAGAAGATGAATTGTTTTTAGTACTTATTATTTATTGAAAGTATTTAGTTTCCTTTTCTTATTTTTTGATTCGCCTTTTTCAGCACTACATTGATTATTTTTCTTTTTGATATTGAAAACATTAGAAACAATAGAGCATAGCATAATAAACTGACAATAAAAGTCTTTTAAACATGTATCTTGGGATACGCTAGAAAAAGTAAGATGACATAAAATATCTTTTTGTTTACACATTTTCAGAAAGTAATATTCGGTGGAAGAATCATTTATAATTTTTTCAAAGATGCATGCATATGAAATAGGACAGTTTTTACCATGTCTGTAGTGTATCCTGAAGGGTTATTTTTTTATTTAATTATCTATTTAATTCTCGAAAGGGAGTTTATTATCATTCTACTTTAATCAATACGTGAGAACTTAGAAATGTTGTATGCTCAGAGAATTACTTCCAAGTACTTACCCTTTCATTGCTTACGTGGAATGTAATCCAGTGGCTGGCTATACAGGGTGACACTGAAGTGGAGCAACAAAAGGAAACACCAAAACTTCCAGGAAGGGTTTTATTAACAATAAACAAAACAAACAAACAAAATGACAACACAACAGCTCGAACATTATTAATTAATTGATTTATACGCGACAGCGTACCGAGATTCAGGGAATGCGCACTTCACACCAAAATTTGGAAAAACTTTATCTATTATTACATTTAATTAATTAGCCCGAGACTCTAAAGTTAATAGTTAGTCTGCTCAATGTGAAACCTAAGGAAGAACTGACTTCTTCGAGATCTCTCCTGAATTCCACACTTTGACACGCCCATTTCTTGGATCCAGAAGTTTCGGTTCTTATCTTATTGGCGGGGACCCTGAGTGTCGGGATGCTTTAATAATTAGGTTAATAATTATCTAATTGACTTGACCTACATTTATATATGAATTTTGAAACTAAACTAAACCCTAGCCTTCCCCTAGTGACTCCGCGTAGCAAATACGGGGCGGATTAGTCAATGTAATTTAATATTTTCTTATTAGCTTGGAAAATCCGCCGAAAAACCAGCTATGATCTGCTACTTTCTTTTCCAATTATTATTTCAGTTTAACAATTTAATTTAAGTCTACTTTGGAATCCCTACGCTCTTCTCGCGGTTTCGCGCGTAATTAAAAATATGGGTTTTTACGCTGGCGTCTCCCAGACGCAACAGATGACTACCATATGGTCCTGACAGTTTAAGTGAACTTGAAAATATTGCTAAATTTCGTGAAGCCTTCCCCGAAGGACGGTCTTGGCGACCTACTATTTGAAAGCCCTCAACAGTCGATAATTTGTGGTAACCGAAATATTTTACTTTTGGCCTATCTGATCTAAGAACTAATAAATAAATGACTGCGCGTCCCGGTTTTTGTTACAGTAGGAACACTAAACCACCGCGTTGTAAATAATAATTACAATACTCATTTTCTATATAAACGTTTCCTTACTTTCAGTAATTAGAGAAATACAAATATTACAATTTAGTTTTCTAGATTTTTTGAATGAAGCATAACCAGATATGTAAATTTGAGCGGATTCTTCTATTTGATACTCATTTAAATATTCCGTTTCCAGTATATGTAAAAAGTTGTCGCTCTCGGTATTTTTGGGAATGTCCCAATCAAGATCAGATACATTGCGGCACTTTTCAGTATGTTTTTGGATTTCAGAAAGTGAACATTTATTTCCTGAAGCCTTTCTAAATATATGTTTAAGTCTATTTTTTTCTCTGCATTAATTATTTCATCAAAACTAACATTATAATTGCTACCACCTAATAGTCTGTATTTACCAAATATTTTTTCTTATTTTTCAGTTGTAGATTTACCAGGTAAAATGTCTGATATTGCAAACTTTTCAAAAGAGTACTCAATTATTTCTAACAAAACAGAAGTACTATGACGAAGTGCTGAATAGGTATCATTTGTAAGACGACCATTGTTATTAATTNCTTGGGACAATTGTCCCAAAAAATACCATTTTCAATTAAATAATTGTTCATCAAGTTAAAGATGTCAGCTCTAGTAGTAGTACTTTCTAACGCCTTACACAGGAATTCAAAAATAATAGGTGAAGAATTAGGGGGTACATACTTCTTAATGTCATAGTCTGGTAATTGGTTTCATACTCGATTTCATATTGGCTTTTAATTTTAGAAGATGAATTGTTTTTAGTACTTATTATTTATTGAAAGTATTTAGTTTCCTTTTCTTATTTTTTGATTCGCCCTTTTCAGCACTACATTGATTATTTTTCTTTTTGATATTGAAAACATTAGAAACAATAGAGCATAACATAATAAACTGACAATAAAAATCTTTTAAAAATATATCTTGGGATACGCTAGAAAGAGTAAGATGACAAAATATCTTTTTATTTACACATTTTCAGAAAGTAATAATAATATAAAAGAATCATTTATAATTTTTTCAAAGATGCATGCATATGAAATAGGACAGTTTTTACCATGTCTGTAGTGTAACCTGAGGGGTTATTACTTTATTTAATTATCTATTTAATTCTCGAAAGGGAGTTTATTATCATTCTACTTTAATCAATACGTGGGAACTTAGAAATGTTGTATGCTCAGAGAATTACTTCCAAGTACTTACCCTTTCTTGCTTACGTGGAATGTAATCCAGTGGCTGGCTATACAGGGTGACACTGAAGTGGAGCAACAAAAGGAAACACCAAAGCTTCCAGGAAGGGTTTTATTAACAATAAACAAAACAAACAAACAAAATGACAACACAACGGCTCGAACAACATTATTAATTAATTGATTTATACGCGACAGCGTACCGAGATTCAGGGAATGCGCACTTCACACCAAAATTCGGAAAAGCTTTATCTATTATTACATTTAATTAATTAGCCCGAGAGTCTAAAGTTCATAGTTAGTCTGCTCAATGTGAAACCTAAGGAATAACTGACTTTTTCGAGATCTCTCCTGAATTCCACACTTTGACACGCACATTTCTTGGATCCAGAAGTTTCGGTTCTTATTGGTGGGGACCCTGAGTGTCGGGATGCTTTAATAATTAGGTTAATAATTATCTAATTGACTTGATCTACATTTATATATGAATTTTGAAACTAAACTAAACCCTAGCCTTCCTCTAGTAACTCCGCGTAGCAAATACGGGGCGGATTAGTCAATGTAATTTAATATTTTCTTATTAGCTTGGAAAATCCGCCGAAAAACCAGCTATGATCTGTTACTT